CATTACTTGACTGAAAATTGAGATGTATTCACCTTGGCTGCATCTGTCTTGTTTGAAGTCATGCATAGCTATGGCATATGACAAAACAAATGACATTTTGCTGATTATTGGTCAGCATTTATCATTATTATTGTTCATAAGTGTTGGGGTGGGCTAGCAATGCATTCTGGGGTAATCTTAATTTCTAAGTAGTAATACTTGCATTTTTCGAGTGTAAAATTAACAGTTTCTCAGGGATGAAACGAGAGAAATTCAACAAGAAAAAGAGGAAAACAAAGGAGATTTTGCTTGTGGATGAATAATTTTGCACATAAAACAAAGAAATTAACATATTCACAAGATAACAATTTTGAGTTTTCATAATAAAAAAATAATATCTTTAAGGATTAAACTGGGTCATTTTAGTATAGTTAAAAATATAAAAACTTAAATCAACACAACATTTATTGGTTATACTACAATCACAATAAAAGGGCAGCTGTTTCTTCAACAAGACCACAAAATGAGCAAATTTCATCAACATCAAAATGTTTACAGATAGATGAATTAAACCTGTCGCTAATATCTTTTAAGTTGTTGCGCTTGTTATAACGTCATAGATCACATTATAACGTAAACATGGCAGATCGCATTCATACTCGAGATTTGGCTGTAGAGTACTTACTGTTTTAGTGCTCGTTAAGTAACTACTTATTGAAATGAAGTACCTACTCATTGAGTATGCCATTTCGGACGCAGCCATGTTTTGGTATTGCTGTTCTTGATATCTGATGAAGGCCTGGATAACGGCCAAAACGTCATTTTAATCAATGAAGTTTTCACCCCTTCAAGAGTGAGTGCTGCACCTTTTTCAATTGACTTAGAAATATTTAGTGCCAGTTCATCAGGAAGTGACGATTTTGTTCTCTTTGACTCGTTGGATGGAAACTGGATGGATATTCCAGTTTTGCGCATAAGTTAAATTTGCATCTTTGGATGGAAACATAGCTATTGTCATTAGGATATGTCCCAAAACCTTCAAACTGGCTGTTATTAAGCCTCTCATCAAAAAAACACAACTTGACCCCAAAGAACTAGTTAATTACAGACCGATCTCGAATCTCCCTTTTCTGTCCAAGATACTAGAAAAGATAGTATATCTTCACAATTATATTCCTTCTTAGAGAAAAATGGTATCTGTGAGGATTTCCAGTCAGGATTTAGACCGTATCATAGTACTGAGACTGCTCTCATTAGAGTTACAAATGACCTGCTCTTACCCAGATAGCATGCGGATGTGGGCCACTTAAAGCAATGATATGGCACTGCTGGCCTTCTTATGGCCTGGACAAAATGGATGTAAGCCTGAAGTGGCCCATATGTAGAACAGCAAAAATGGCCCAAATGTATCAAATCACATGTGGGCCTCTGTAGGTAAAGATGCGGTGTTGACGGCAATGTGTAATCTGAATGTGACCCGAAAGTGGCCCATGTGGTAAACAGTGATTATGGCCCAAACAGTGCCAACCAAATGTGGGCCACCTTTGGCAAAAATGTGGCATTATCGACAAAGGCTAATCAGGGTGTAAACCAAATGTGGCCCACATATGTTTCAGCAAATGTGGCCCAGGTACATTAAAATGTATAGTTTTGGCAAAGATATGGCACAGTGAGCATTGGCTAATCCACCTGTGAGCCTAAAGTGGCCCACATATGATGCAACAAATGTGGCCCAGTCATCCTAAAACGTATCTGGGCCAGTTTTGGCCAAGATATGGCATGGTAAGCACTGGCTAATGTGGCTGCGAGTCTAAAATGGCCCACATATGATGCCACAAATGTGGCCCAGTTATCCTAAAGGCTTTGTAAAAATCGACGCGTTTCAAAAAGGCGGGGCATAGAGGAGAAACAATAATGTACCGTATGTGGAAAAGAATGTGTTTTTTGAACTTTAAACCGCATAAACACATTTCATTACACCAAATACACCAAATAATGTTCTTTTTAGCAGCCCTTTAAAATGTCAAATTAATATTTTGCATTAATTAATTACTTATCAGGCAAGTGGCCACATAAGCGGGAAAATTACACAGTGTAGTATCACCCTGCAGAGGTTTCTTTTGCAAAACAATCTGCTGACTGTACACTATGCCTCAGATTTGCTACCCTCTGAACTAATTGAAGAATATCACATGCTGTTTCAGGATGTTCCATCACAAACTAACATGACATTGATGTTGGTGAATGCAAGCCTGCCAAACAGCATCCATACCGTGTAAATCCTCACAAGCGGCAGGTTATGAAAATCGAGGTAGATTACTTACTGAGTCATGGCTTTGCAGTGCCAAGTCAGAGTCCGTGGAGCTCACCATGTTTGCTTGTACCCAAACCGGATGGCTCGTGGCGGTTTTGTACTGATTTTCTTTGGGTGAATGCTGTAACTAAGTCTGATTCCTTCCCAGATAGCATGTGGATGTGGGCCACTTAAGGCAATGCTATGGCACTGCTGGCCTTCTTATGACCCGGACAAAATGGATGTAAGCCTGAAGTGGCCCATATGTAAAACAGCAAAAATGGCCCAAATGTATCTAATCACATGTGGGCCTCTCTAGGTAAAGATGCGGTGTTGACGGCAATGTGTAATCTGAATGTGACCCGAAAGTGGCCCATGTGGTAAACAGTGATTATGGCCCAAACAGTGCCAACCAAATGTGGGCCACCTTTGGCAAAAATGTGGCATTATCGACAAAGGCTAATCAGGGTGTAAACCAAATGTGGTCCACATATGTTTCAGCAAATGTGGCCCAGGTACATTAAAACGTATCTGGGCCAGTTTTATCAAAGATATGGCACAGTGAGCATTGGCTAATGTAGCTGTGAGCCTAAAGTGGCCCACATATGATGCCACAAATGTGGCCCAGTTATCCTAAACCATATCAAAATTTCACCATCCAGTTAGGCTCATCAACCATAACTCCTTCAAAAACAGCTAGAAACCTTGGAGTTGTGATTGATGATA